AGATGTTTGATTGTTTTTGAGATTTTCTATCCGATTGTCCTGGAAAGTCAATCAGTCATTGTGATGTTCTGCTTATATTTTGTTTTTGTCTATTTTCATTTCCTTCCTACTGATGAGAAACAAAACCAGCCGCCTTTTAGAGTGTCATATCAAACACCTAGGCCTTTATGGCTTTCACTTTGTCTGTTGTGGGTCACTGCAGTTCTGAGTTTGTTCTACACATTGTGAGTCTTCTCTAAGTGAGCGTTTGCTGTTGGGCCTCATTTGTCTGCAGGTTTTCCTTTCCTACCCATCATTGCTGGAGCCACACTTAGGTCTTTGGAAATGCTCAGCCAAGGTTTTCCCATGATTCAGCTTTTGCCATTTCAACAACCCTTGAAAGGGCTCCTTAGCTCATGATTTTAAAACATAAAGCAGTTATTTGACAAAAATAAATGGCACACATGCATGAATTATATGAATATTGATAGAGTCCTAGGTTTGTTTGTTTGTGTTTTCCTTCTGCTATTCATTCTTTTTGAGAGCTTTCCTGAAGGGTTTTCAAAGTTGGTAAGCCCTGTGCACCTGGGATAGTTATTTAAAAGTCACTTTACTGGATGGCCCATGTAGTGATCAGAAACTGGGAGTGGGATAGAGGTAGAGTTTGGGAGCACGCCTTTTAATCGGCACCCCATTGATTCATCTGGCATAAAAGCTTGAACCACTGGACATACAGAATCTCAGTGTTAGTTCTTAATAATAATAACAGAGATTATTATTACTACTACCTTTCAGTCTCCGTCCACTGCTTCCTGGCAGTGTTAGTGCTATTCTTAACACTCCGATTCATCTTCAAACAACCAAAGTGTGTCGCTTTGCACAGCTTGAGCTGCAACAGCACCCCTGCTAAAAGCAGCAGCGCTCTGGGAGGGGATGGCAGACATGGGACGGAGCGGGTCGTGACCCACACTGAAACACTGGCCTCAGGCACAGCCACAAGTGAAAGAAGTGAGCAGGGTCAGCACAGCACTCTCCGGTTAGGTTGGGAGAGTCTCCTGGTGAGATAAAGTGAAATGGGCTTAGATGATGGCATCTCTCAGCAAGAAGTTTTCAGAATAGAAACTAGACATGAACTCTTTAGGGGGTGGACAGAGAGGAGAGGATTTTTCTACCTTACATCTGTTTCCCAATCAAAATATGATTCCCTGTGTTTGTATTTTAGTCATAATTAGCTTAGTATTAAAAACCTGAATCCTTAGGAGTGACAATTCAATAACAGAGAAATTATGATCATTGCACATGGCCTGGCATGAAGTAACCAATCGGAACATTGAGCAAGTGTGAGATTATTCTCTGTGAAGACTTACTCAGGCGAATATAACTCTTGCAAGCTGGTCTTGGATTCTTTTGGGACCACAAACAGCCCCTTCTGTTAGCTTTCAGTGTATCTGCAAGGAACATCTCCATTTGAGACCCTTTCAGTTCCATCACTGTAACAAAATACCGAGACCATCAACTTAAAAAGAGGAAAGGTTTATTTTGATTCACAGTTGCTCATGGTTGTGGCATTTGGGCCTATGTTGAGGCTGTGTATTATGTCTGGAGGACATGGCTGAGGAAGCTGCTCACTTTATGGTGGCCATAAAACAATGGGAGAGATGGGAAGAGGCCAGAGTTCCACAGCCCGCCCCCCCCCCCCCCAAGGCACATTCCTTGTGACCTAGGCCTCTCGTCTTGAAGGTTCTACCATCTTCCAGTAGTGCCGTGGACGGGGCACATGGGTTTTTGGGGGACACTTATTCAAGCCATAGTTAGTACTTTCTGTCAATTAAACAACATTATAGTGAGTGATAGTGATTGAGAGGACCACTATTTACTTTTATATAGTCAAATCTTTTCTACAACTTTGCTGATATGAAGAGTCAAGCCTAACCATAAGGGAGCCCGTGGGTTCAGGGTCCAGAGTATTTTCTGTCCCCATATTCTGTGTTGTGTGTTATGTGATCAGTGACCGGAAAGCTGAGTTCATAAACCTTGTTCTTATTTTGTCCACACTACTTTGCCATTACAGTTGACAGATAGGGACTGACTGAAAAAGCCTGTTAGTGTTTGCTGTAGCCTCCATGTCAACAGTTAATGTAGACCTCAGTGTCTTATGTTTTACTTAGAAGAATAGTGAGTTGTGTGCGTTGTCATAGCATGATTACCATTTGCACTTAGTGGTCATTGTACATTTACTCCTTGAAGCAGTTCTAGCAGCTTGCCTAAGGCCACGTAAGTGGTGGGATCTACCTTAATTTCCTATCTTTGTAGATTTTATTTCCTTGCACTAACCTGTTTTGTGAAAAAGGGAACATTTTAAGAACAGATTAAAATATTCCTTTTTTTCTATTTCAGTGCCCTGTCATTATCAAAAAATTTTTAAACTAGTTTTGAGTCTGGTAGATCATACCATTTTTACTTGGCATAAATCTGAATGTAATAATAATGCTGTCACTTTCTATTAAGAAAAACAAGTACATTTTTTCCCCAAACTACATAAAAGATTGCTGTTTATAAAACCTCCTGGCTACAAATGGGGGAAAAAAAGGATATAAATTGTGAAATACTTTGTATTTTTGGGTTCTGAGGTGGGACTGGGGTTTGAACTCTGGGCTTTGCACTTGCAAAGCAGGCACTCTACCATTTGAGCCATGCCTCCAAGTCCATTTTGCTCTAGTTATTTTGGGGATGGGGTCTGGAGATCTGTTTGCCTAAGCAGGCTTTGAATGTCGATCCTCCCAATCTCAGCCCGCCAAATTGCTAGAATTACAGGTGTGAGCCCCCAGTTAGTACTTTGTATTTTCATTTGAGAAATCAATTCACTTTTATGGTTCTTCATTGGAACTGCATGTGTTTGACCATTTTTTCCTTTAGGTTTTCTTGCCTTGCCATTGAGGATTAAGCATTAGTGAATTTGGTTAAGAATGGATTTGGGGGGTAAGATGACCAACTGCTGATTGACTTTGGAAGTCAGCAGCACAGTGCAAATGCTCAGGTCATAGTGATGATTTACAATGGTTCATTGGCCAAAGGGGGTGGGGGTGAACTTGTGACACATATGTGATCACTGGAGTATGAGAAAAGCACGGGACACAGCTTCCATGGGTGTGCTTAAAGAAAGGGGGTATACGCTATACATCCTTCTTACCCCTTCCCTGACTGGAATGTGGGTGCAGTGGTGTGCCTTGGAGCTGCCGCTTTAGATCATGAGATAGGAGTCCCTTGTTGGGAACGGCTGAGCCACAAAGCAGAAGGAGTCTTATCAGCTTTGGACTTCTACTGCTTAGACTATTATGTGTGTGAGAGAAATGAACTTCCTCCTTGGTGAAGCCATTGGTCTGTTTAGATTTTTGTTTTGTTTTCACAGTAGCAAATCCTGTGTCCTCACTAATAAATTAAAGCAGCATAAACAAAGTCAAAGAATAGCAACTTGCTGAGGAAAGGTACCCATAGCTCATGTTTTCAAGAGGATAATTTCTATTAGGTACTTCCAAATAAGGAAAAGGCTCACCATTAACAGAAAACTGATTAAAAGTTATGAACTAATTTCATAGGAAAAGAAATAGAAATGCTTGTGAACATCAGAGGATGCTTGTATAATTAGAAGAAAAATGAACACAAAATAAAATTAAGCAAGATAATTTTTGCCATGTAGTATGACAATATTCCAAAAGTTTGACAGAAAGTATGGGTGACCATTTGCTCCCTCAGACATGCCTCTCAGCATGTGCTCCAGCCATGCCAAGACAAGAAGCCTTCTCACCCCACACCCATGGCCTCACGACCTATGTGACCCCCCTCCTCCCACTTTGCTTCTGGGTCCTCTCCCTAATGAGACCCAAATCCAGCACCAACAGCGCCCAGATCTCTGTGTTGTTCTTCTCAGAAGTATTCTAAGCATCTACAAAGGCCCTCAGTAAAGCCGCTAAATGTTTGTAAGTAAATGTTAACCAAGGGTCTTAGCAGCTCTGGGGAAGCAGGTACATGTGTACATGGCCAGCCTAAGAAGAACAGACTGTCAGTGTCCCATCAGAATGGCACTGCAGTCACTCTGACCCAGCAGCTGGCCCGTGGGACTTATCTTCCGCTTACTACTGTATGTTCGTGATCACTCTGCTGTTTGTCTTGGTTTTGCATAATTGCATATGATTGAAAACAACTGAAATGATGGTCAGTCAGGGGTTTCTTAAGCCAAGCCAAGAGAACATCCATGCAATGGAGTGGAATGCCTTTCAGCTGTGGATCCAAGACCATGTCTGAGATGGTGTGCGTGTGTTGTTGTCTCTGTGAAAAAAGATTAGGAGGAAATAAGCATATGTGCACAAATCCAGAAACGAGTGCTGAAAGAATGCTCAGCTGTGGTGGAGAAATTTGGGAACCTGTAGAGAAGAAAGGATTAGGAAGCCTAAGGTCTGCTGGTAGATCTTTGTGTTATTTCTTTCATTTCTGATAGTTTTTTTTTTTGCAATACTAGGGTTTGAACCTATGGCCTTGCACTTGCTAGGTGGGTGCTGCCACTTGAGCTGCATCCTCAACCCAAGGTTATTTGTGTCATGAAGCCAAGCGAAAGTATTTCCAGTTCAAAAAATTAAACTGGAAGATAAAACTTGGAGTGGTAGTTGCTGATCGGCCTAAGGAACACTTAATACCTTTAATTTATTTCAGGCATAAAAATAAGTTTTAAGAATGATTCCAGTAGTTGAATAATGAATAATATTTTTTGTGTGCAAGGCTCTGAGTTCAAACCCCAGTATCATCCTCCAAAAAACCCTGCTAGCCCAGGCAAAGTTAGAGAAAAATAACAAAAGGATTAAAAGTATGGTACAAGTGGTAAAGGGCCTGCCTAGAATGTGTGAGGCCCTGGGTTCAAGCCTCAGTACCATTTCCAAAAGCAGAAAAAGGACTGTGGGCACTGAGATGTGTGTGTTGATTTCTCCTGCTGTAGACAACCATCTGATTTTGTTACCTTTTCTTTTCAGTCCTGACGATATTGGTACCTGCTGGTATATCCTTCTCTCTGGCTCCGTGTTCATTAAGGAATCCATGTTTCTTCCAAGAAGCAGGTATTGTATAGAGATTCTGGAGTGTTCCTTGAAGCTTGAAGTTCTTTTGCAGAATTCTTCTACTCATGTACTTCAGTGCTTTGGGTTGTTGTACATAAATGTTTAAGAAATGCCTTGTGTTTTTGTGTTGTAAGTACTGTTTCAGTCTCTTTAAGGATGTGAATAAAAGACATAATGGTGACATGAAGTTTGCTAAATGAACACCTCAGCTGTTTCAGGGCACATTTGTTCATAGTCAATAAAATTGGCCACAAGATGGCTTAGGCAAAAAAGGACTAACTTCATAAAAATACTGGAAAACAGGCAAGAAACATTGATTAAGACCACAGGGGGCTGGAAAGGGGAAGTCAGGAGCTATCTTTGACTCTGTGTCTCTCAGGACCACATGGCCTCTTCATTTCTGAATGTGTGTATAGATCAGCCTCCTGCTCTCTAGGGCAGTTAATCTCTTCCTCCCTGACACCTCAGCCTATCGCCTGTTCATTTATGACCTTGTGTCCCTAATGTTTATGCCATTTGTGTCCTCTTGTTGGATTCTGTAGGATACAACCTGATAGGCAGACACATACCTTTAATCTTAACTAGTTGTGCCCCAAATTAAAACCATGACTATTAAAACCTCACTACCTATGTTCAGGTTAGTTAATGAGTTTCACTAGCTAGTTTGCCCTCCTAATTGTGTATTATTAACAAGTAACTTTATTTGGTTTAAAGATTTTTAACTTTTTATTTTACCTTGCTAAGCATTTTTACTATTAAAGGATACAGATTCCCCATTTCAGCCACCTAATTCTCTATAAAAATATTTAACTGTATTCTGGATAAGTGATTCTGAGAGAATTAAGGTCATGTTACAAATCTGTTTTAAAAATGTGACCAGTTCTTGGAAGAAGTCAGAGTTAGAAAGGGAGAGGTGGTTTTCATTGTAGTCCAAGGTCAGCCTGGGTACTCCATGAGCCTTGGGGGCTGTAAGGTAGGGAAAGAGTTCAGGTCTCATGCTTCTTTGCCCTTCTGCTTCTCCAAGGTCAGGCTGGAAAGCATTTTTCTCTTTGGGAAATGGTTCCATGGGGGAGGAGCACTCTATTGGCTATTTGCTGTTCTCAGTAATGAGAACAGCATTGGTGGTGGTAATTGTAGCAATAGTTCTAATAGTAATGATAATAGTAATAAAATGATAACAACATAGCTAATGCTTTTACAGTTCTTCTGATTCTAGGGATCATTTTAAATGCTTGGTGTATATTCAGTCATTTAATGTCACTTTTCTCCTTTGAGGTAGGTAGAATAATTACATGCATTTTATAGATAAGGAAACTTGTATTGGAAGGATGTTTGTATCTCCTTGAAGTCTGACTAGAAAGCCCTGTGAACCAGTTGCTGTAATTCTAGGAATTCTGTTTCCCAGAAGAATGGAGAATTGAATATTAATACTCTTCTCTAAACACAGGATTATCATTTTGTCCCTTGGAGCTTCTGACTAACATATTTCTAAACTTGGAAGGTATAGACAAATAGTATTTAAGCATTGGGTTATTGAAGTATTAATTTTAATGTAAGAAATAATAGCAATGAACTATATAACTTTTCAAAGATAAAAGTCAGAGGAAAATCACCTGAAATCTTCATTCCAGATTATCATCCTTTAATACTGTAGTGTTTTCCTCTCTACACTTTATATACTCATTGTCTTCCACATGCTTAAGAGCATGCTTTGTAAGTCAATAACTTGTTTATATTGTTAAAGAATATTTGTATAGATGCACATTGCTTCAAAACATTGAAAATTCTTTGCAGTTTACTCTTGATATCTTTTAATACCTATTTAGTGATCAGTTATTTGATTTCCACAATGTAGTCAATAATTACAAATGGTGAGTTTTTAATTCTTCCTGTTACAAATGATGCTGTCATGAATGTGATTTGGAGTTTATGATTCTTAGAGGACACTGATTAGTGGCTTTACTGTCATCTTAGTGCACTGCTTGTTGCGCACACTAAGTCTGTAGTAGACCTCAAGCCCAGAGCAGACAAGGAGGCTATGGTGGTGTCCTACCAATCGTGCTCAGCCAGCCCAGTAACAGCTTGTTCTGACTTACGGAAAGAGAAAGAGGACTTGCAGTTCAGACCATTTCACAAGCACATTGGACTGTACGTGTAATTATTTTAAAAGATGACATAAGTTAATTTTTTCTTTGGCTGGATGTCAACTGCTTGCAACTCAGGACTTTAATGGGATGAAGGAATGGTATTTCAGACTGATGATCAACCAGTGCTATATATAGGTTATTCCTTCACGTTGCACCTGGTGACATTTTCTGTGCCTGCCTTGTTTGTTTCCCTTGGGGACGTTGCCTTAGGAATGGTTCTGAGATTGTTTTAGTAAGAGCCAGTCTTGTGGTCCCATGCTTATGGTTGATACTACTGGTTCACATATTTTTCTTTCTTTTCTTTCTCCCTCCCTCCCTTTCTTTTCCCCTCTCCCTTCCCCCCTCCCCCCAGGTAGAAGACCTTTACTTTTACTTTTTATTTTTTAGTGGTATTAGGGTTTGAACTTAGGCAGGTGCTCTACCACTTCAGTTATGACCTCAGTCCCTACACCTTCACTTTGGTTATTCAAAGTGAAGCATATTTTTCCTTGATAAGGCTTGTAACATTTGTAGAGCCTTTGAATTGCTATGTGACTTATCAGTGGCAGCTTACTCTAGTCCCACCCAACTTTAAGCAATTTTAGTGATATAAATGTTTTTATGAATTTTATTGGAAATCTATTAGAAACTTGATGAGTTTTGAACCATTAATATGTGTACAAGTAGCTGTAATGTGTATTTTATGTCATTACATATAATCTTGCCCTAAGATTGAGCTAAATTCTTACTTGGAATAAAATTTGTGTTTTTGAAGCAATATACAAATTATAATTACATTTTTCTTAAAGTCTTACTTATTTTTATTTGCATATATTCATTGTACAGGGGGAATACATGTGACATTTGTATATGGGCTTACATTGTATCTGAATTAGATTCAGTCCCACCGCCCATACTTCTTCACCCCCTCATCACCCCTGCTTAGAACAATTTCAGCAGGTTTCATTGTTCTGTTTTCATGTACAATACAAAATGTATCCACCATATTTGCCCTCCTTTACCCTCTCTGGTCTACCCTTCCCTCTCCTACACTGGGGTGGGAGCTGCCTTACCTTCCTGCCCTTCATTTTTTTAAGGTTTATATTGATTGTTCAAGGGGGTTTTGCCTTGGTATTTCACACATGTATATGTCATGCTTCAGTCAGATTAACCCCTCCATTATTAAAATCTTATTTAAAGTGAGTTCAGTTTCTTTTTATCCATAGAAATACTGGGAGCAAAGGCAATTTAGCAAGATAGTATGTGGGATTGGAAGGGTGTGTTTGCCAGGGACAAGGATGGTAAGTGAAGCATCATGGCCGCCATGTTGCACAGGTTATGTGCTGCACAGCTGTATGGGGCTGTTTGTATCCATTCTGTCCTTGCTTCATACATTAACATAATTGACAGGTGGGGTGCTAAGGTGAGGAAGTATTCTCTGCCCCTCATATTTTCAGAAGCACCCTTTGTAACAGCAGTGAAAATTCTCTTTTATCAATTTGCAGGTTTAGAAATAATTTTCTATTGTATCTTTCATTTATGCTACAAAAATATATAGGAAAATGTTAATAGTGTTTATTGCTGTACTATACCCTAAATCAGTGCATTTAAAAACTGTAAGAGAGATTGTTACTTACTTTCACAAGAATTGATTATGTATTTTATAAAGAACTGAATGTTTAAGGAGAAGGAATTGCTAATTACCTGAGTTGATACACATTTTATAATATATTAAATTGTCAAAATTGTACCCCATAAACATGTAGTTATTTTATATCAATAAAAAGATTGTTACATAGTTTAAAGTTTCTTCTAAAATTGCTCCACTATGAATTCTGAAGCCCTTTGTAATTAAGTCACAGTATGATAACTTTAGTTAATGAGATTTTTTGGCTGCTGACTTCTTTAAAAGACTGAGAACTTCCTTTAGATATTAAAGATGGCTCAGACTGTGTTTCTAAACTTGATGTCTGGGTTATTTGTTAGAGAAGTAGATATTTTACTCAGACTTTATATTAATTGGTAGAGTTGGAGTCTTTTGAGTAATATATCAGTAATCTAAAGACCTTGTTTACTAATTAGTAAGTGCTAGATTGGTAAGACCTGAACTATTGTCATGATACAGATAAACTCATCTTTGAACTTAGGTTTCTGAAAAAAGTCAGTCTTAGTAAAATGCTGAATATGATTCATGAATAACACCTTTGTTGCTTCTATATCCTATACACAAAGCAACTATTAAGCAACCTCTATTTCCTATTTATGTGGTAGCTAAGGTAGAAGCTGTAAGGTTGGAGGGAAAAAGAATCACAGGCCAGTTGTAAGTTGCCAAGAGAAGGATTGTAATTAAGGCGAAGAATCAGAGGGATTGGGAAAGAGGCATACGTGGAGAATGGGGGCTTTCAAAGCAGGGACTCGGGCTGATTTACTGGGTTATGTCAGTTGCACACCTGGGAGGCAGAGTGATCAGTTTGCTACAAGCGCCTTAAGAAATGATGTCTGTGACTGACAGTTCACTATCAGTGAAATGCCATCAAAATTGAGGTTGGGTATGTGTGCCCTTTCTATGTTTATAGATTATTCCGTGTCATTCTAAAACAGGTTTGGTAGAGATCAAACTGAGTCACGTTTTAAAAAGCATTTTTATTAGCTTATATTAGTTGTTCATGAGGTTTCATTTTGACATTTTTCATGTAGGCTTACAACTATTCTCTCTCATCCCTGTCCCCCTACTTAAAATGATTTGGACAGGTTTCAGTGTTGCATTGTCATGCAGATATATAAAGTACACCGACCACATCCACCCTCCTTTACCCTCTGCATTTACCTTCGTCCTCCCACTAATACCATCCCACTGACAGGACCATTCTACTT